GCCATGAGGGAATGGGAGTGCATCCCCCCCCTTGGCGGTTATTGTGGGCCTTGGTGGCCACATTGTCCATCATCAACAGGATGTGGTTGTGTTGAATGTCCCGTCTGAAATGGTGAAGGGCGAGTCTTGCTGCTCTCAGTTCCAGCCAGTTGATGTTGCGGGCTGATTCCTCTTGAGACCACCTGCCCTGAGTCACCTGATTGTTGAAGTGAGTGCCCCAGCCAGATAGGCTTGCATCTGTAGTCACCACCAATCACTCTGGTTCCTTGAACAAAGAGGCCTCTTTTGACGGCCGGGCATAGTCACTACCGCAGGGAGTTCCTCACCTTCGGGGGGAGCCAAACTAATGCTGGGGAGCTGTTCCTGTTGGCTCAGTGGTAACAAGAGCCACTGAAGTGCCCTTGCATGGAGCCTTGCCCAGGGAACCACTGATATGCAGGATATCATCATGCCCAATAGCTGGGATAGACGAATGACCGGCACCTGCCATGCTCCCTGCACCTTGAGAACAAGGGTCCTTAGGCTGTCTAACCTTTCCTGCGATAGATGAACCTTGCAAGCTATGGTGTCTATCTCTGCTCATAGGTGTAGGAGCCTGGTGGTGGGCTCCAAGTGGCTCTTCTCCAGGTTTACGGAGAACCCGTGTGCTTGGAGACTTCTCATGGTAGCGCGGAGGTAGTGGACCACCTGTTCCCTGAATGATGATTGAACTAAGATGTCATCCAGGTAACAGACTAGTTGAACAGGCCTCCTTCTGAGGTCTGCTGCTACAACTGAGAGAATTTTGGTAAAGGTCCTGGGTGCTGACGACAGGCAAGACCCTGTATTGGTAATGTTGGCCCGCGTAGAAGAACCTCAGGAACTTTTGATGATGAGGCCGAATTGGTATGTGTAAGTATGGCTCCTTTAGATCTACCAATGTCAGTAGGTCCCCGTGCCTTATCCCTGAAAGAATGGTTTTCAGGGACTGCAAACGTTACGTGGTAATTGTACATTATGTGGTAATTGAGGTTCTTCAGATCTAATATTGCTTGCCACCCCCCGAGCTCTTCGGCACCAGGAATAGGATGGAGTAAAATCCCCTCCACTCCTGATCCTCTGGCACTGGCTCTATGGCATTGATGTCCAAGAGACGCTGAATCTCCATTTGCATGAGCTCCCTCTTGGTTGGGTAGGAGGGAGTGGGGCAGTGGACGAAGTTCCTCGGGGGAAGGGAAATTAATTCGGGGGAGAGATCCTGTCTCACCGTCTGTAGGACCCAACAGTCCAACGTGGTGAGCTGCCATTAGTCGGTGAACTGCTGGAGTCGCCGCCCCCCAACAATGGGAGACAGACCATGCTGGTCACTTGGTCTTCCAGAAAGGTCTCTGGGAGGCTCTTCCATGGTTAGATCTACGGTAGGCGTACTGTTGTCTGCATCTATCTTGAAAGAACTGCCTGTCCTAAAACCTATCAGAAGATTGGGAATATGGCCTGTGGAATGTTGGGGCGTTGAAAGAGGAATAAGATGCCTGAAAGGACTGCTCCTAAAATAAGGTTGGGACTTCCTCTCCTGCTTTTTTGCACTGGTGGGGAGAACCTTCTTATCTTTGGATTCGATCAACACCGAATCCAAGGTCTCTCCAAATAGTTTGTCGCCTTTAAAGGGGACAGCGGCCAACTTCCACTTTGACTTCATATCCACTTGCCAGTGACGGAGCCAGAGAAGGCGTCTAGATGTTACATGAGACGCCAGTGCCCTGGAAGCAAATTTAGCCGCATTTAATGATGTCCCAGCTGCATACTGGGACGCTGCAATAATCTTATTTACGTCTTGACATAGACGTGTGTACTCTGCAGGTAACCTAGCCTGCAGATCTTTCAACCAAAGGATGGAAGTCCTATTAAAGAAGGAGGCAGAAGTAAAGGGCTTAAAGGCCCAGGCTGCCGCTTGATGAGTTTTGTGACAAGCCTTTTCTGCCTTCCTATCCTCTGACTTAAGGCCCTCCATAAGGTCAGCAGGAAGAACTGAATTAGATGTCAAGGAAGCCACAGGAGGATCTACAGGGGGTAATTTGAAACATTTTCCAAAGTCTCCTCCACTGAATAGAGTTTCTTGTCCCCTCTGCTGGGAGCGGCAAAGGAGCCCGGTGGGTCCATTGGTGTTGTACCATGTCCAAAAACAGTTCAGGCATGGGAACCAGAGCCTGAGCCAGAGCCTGCTTCTTGAACATGCTGTCCCTGGGATTAGGAACCTCCACTCTGGGGGTTCCCTGACCAGTCTGAGGGGACACGCCAAGTTGCGTGATGGTGTTTGCCTTATGCAATATGGACTTAAAGATAGTGGGTTTGAATAACCCCGAGAATACAGGGGGGTCAAGGGGAAGATTCTCGTCTTCAGACAATTCCTGATCATCCTGGTCCTGCTCGTCCCCAACAGAAACCTTGCTGATGACAGAGGATTCCAAGGATGGATGCCTCACCCTGTGCATGGATGCCCCAGGTTTCTTCCTGAGCCCACTTTCCGATTGGCTAGTCTTGTGCTGAAGGCCTTCAGCTATGCCCTGTGAAATGGCATGTGTAATCATCTCCTGCATTTCAGAAGACATTCCTGTCACTCCATGTCCTTCCTGGAGTGATGTCTAGCCTGAGGGGGGGCGGGGGAAAGAAAGCTCTAAGCTAGAAAGCCTGGGGGGGGGACTTAGGAGGAGAGCCAGGCTCCAATTGGAAATAATGGCCTGGAGAGCTGGGCCCCCTCACCGAGTTATCAGAGGACAAGTCTGTCCTCACCCTCCTCTTCCAACACCTGCAGGGGGCCAGGAGGAACAATGGGGGGGATCTCCCTCCTCCCGAAGCCCTGCAGATCTGCCTTGGCATGGGGGCAGTGGGACTGCTTCTACTGAGGCCTTGCCCTTGCCAGCCATCCTGCTCCTCTCCTTGGCCTTGCCCCTGGTGTTGGCCCCAGGTGGGCCAGAGCTACCATGTCCTAAAGGCTCAGGCTGCTTCAATGTGGTGGTAGGCATCCTGTAGACTCAGATGAATCTGCCAGTTGGAGTCCTCTCACAGCAGCCAATAGGGAGGAAAGTGTTCTTGTTGGGAAACAGCACCCAAGCACACCTTGTTTCCAAGCCTCAGCTCCCAGCCACGTAGTTTTGCTTTCACCGCTACCAACATTGCTGTGGGAGGCGGAGGCTGCACAGTAGAAGATGGTGGAGAGGTGGAGGACTTGGAGAATGACCACGTGGTGGCCAAAACAGTGCGGCCACCTGGAAACAAAATGTAAGGCTTGGGTGGTAGCAGCGCTGCCAGCGACCTGGACAATGCCCACACACCACCTGGCGGCGATCCTCCTAGGAGCTGAGTGGTTCAGACAGGTGTTGCCAACAAAAGCGTGTGAAGTGGAGGCTTATGATTGGCCGCCATGTGCAGAGGGCGGCGTTCCAAAATGGTGGCTGCAGCCACAATAAATCTGTGTGCTCAATTTGGCGAGTCTAAGCCGAATTAAATTAAAACAGCTGGAGCCTACTTAAAAGCATCTAAGTTAGAAATCTGGCCTTAAGGAGGAGCAGGAGGCATGGCCAAAGAATTTGAACTCAGTCCTTGGGCAACCGGACTAATTTAGCCCGTGCTTGGACTCTCCAAGCAACGCACAGGAAAATGTGCAGGGGGCACTTCAGGACTTCTGTTGTTAGTGCCACAAATTTCTTGCCTCTTTTAGCACCATTCAAAGATGTACCAAGTGACTGGTCTTGACTGCTGAAATTGTAAGATCCATGTAAGGTCATTATACAGTATGTACATAAGCATAACTAACTTCAACCTATGACTCCAAGTGGCTTATAGCATAACACACAACAGACATAATACATTACAGATAGATTTTTAAAAATCTTAATTATCAGATTTGCTAAGAAAAATAGGAGTAAATACTACTGTATTGGAGTGAATTCAAAATAAGTATAATTACATTGCCCCAAGCAGTTTAATTTATGTTGTACTATGGAGAGCACTGAAAAAGATGAGAATGGACCAGAGTCATCCTTTTGCCCACAGCGTCAAAAATATAACAATCCCCTCTTGCTCTGGGACTAAGAAGAGCTCACTGTCATGGCCAAGGTGAGAGGGGCATTGCTGTTTTGTTGACGTTTCATAAAAATCAGATGGACAACCCAGTCTGCGACAGACGCTGGTGATTTAGCCAATCTGGAGATGTGATAAGTAATGCCTTTTGTATATTTCACTGATATGGACACTGAAGGCCCTTCAACTGGATTCATCCTAACTATTTCAATGGTTCTAGCTGTAATTTTGCCATTTTACACCAGTTGGCAGTACTTTTTCATCTGGTCCAAGTCCAATTTTAGGATTAGTGGCACTGCTCTTCAATCTAGTTAAGATGACCAGCAATGCTGATTCATAATGGGGTTATGTTCCATGCCTAGTTCTGTTTTGTAAATGAGCTGCCTATACTTTTAGACTGGCATTTATGGCTATTTTCTATTCTTTAACTGTCCTCCTGAATGGCATTCCTGTGCCAGACTGACTGGGACTAACCACCAGCACAGGATTTAAATTACCTTATTTGGCATCATTACACACAAGTGGGTTCTGCTAAGAATCTGATCCTGAAACCGGAGAGGGAGGCATCTGCAATCTGCAGTAGAGACAGACATGTTCAATGGGAACATGTCCAAAACTATAATAATCATGGCCTGCAAACTTGCCAGTTTCATAAGGAACAGTCTTCTGAATACTACAATTCTCTTCCTATTTTGAGAGTTTGTTCCTGGAACAGGAACAGCTTCCTTTCTTGTATGTCTACAATGATATTAATTGTTATGATTAATAGCTGGCACATACCTAATGTCAGCTTTCTGAAGTGGCCAACTAACTCTGCCTAATGCTAAGGCCAACTCTGTGGCTAAGATTCCAGAGCAGACCTGAACCAAGAATGCATCAACATAGCTATAATATCTTACTCCATTTCAGAATCAATAAGAATGTGCTTAGGACGCCACATACAAGCCTAACAGAAATGAAGCACAATATCACACTGTAAGATCACATTTTCATATCAAATTAAATGCTCAGTTTTAGTATTCTGTGAAAAAAAAAGTCATTTAAATAGCCATGGAAATTCATATTTTCATGCTTTACAGAGAAGATGCCATACCTTTACCACATTCTGCACATAGATATTCTCGGATGTTATCATGGACTCTCATGTGTTCTTTTAACATGTCCTTCCTTGCAAATGACTTGCCACATTGTTCACAAGCATGACTTTTCACCCCTTCACAAAAAAATCATATTTTTATTTCTTTAATAATAATAATAAAAAATCAACAACAATGTCCCCTTAAATTTAAAAAAAAAACCAAAATCCTTCCTATTCCCCCAAGTAAAAGATTGAAAAGGCAGAGGCAAATACAAGGAAATCTAAGAACTGAACAGAAGAAAGAATTTTAAGGTGTGGCAAGGTACAAGTGAAAGTAAAAGAATACTTATTATGAGAGGGGGAGGAAGGAGAGATTTAAAAATGCAGTATCAGAACGACTAAAGCAAATAAGAAGATATTTTAAAATGTTGAATATATTAAGTTAGAGGGTAGAAAAATGACCAAAACAGGTTTCTAGATGGGATCCAGATGGAATATCCAACTAAAGCAGAGGTTAGAGAAGGGAAAACCATTACTGCCTCAGTTGTCCAGCTACAGCAGTTTTTCCTCTGGCCTATTGTGAACCGTCCTCCCCCACCCACACATACACCCTACCTTGCAAGGATGACTTGAACAGAACAAAAGCAACAAATGTGGACAATGTTACCACTTTATAATATAATATAAAGCAAAGACTGAACTGCCCCTCTGTTATAATTTGCATGAGTTTTGTCTAGTGTATAAACATCCTTCTAATCCATACCAGCAAAATGTAGGTATTTGAAAGCGTTTCAATTTAAAAACAATCAATATTCATTGGCTTTTCCCAACTATAGGATTTATTTATATATGAGCAAAACCTTTCTTATTCAGAAAGAAGAAATAGAACACGTTTACCTGTATGAATAAGTTTATGTCGTTCTAAATTTCCTATGCTGTTAAAAATTCTTCCACAGATTTCACATGGATGAATATATCTAAAATGGGAGATAAGGATCAACTTCTAAGATTTTTGTAGGATAATTTTTTATTTGAAAAGAAATATTGGAAATAACTTATTATAACAATACCATGGCTATAACGATACCACTTGGAACTGTACAAATACCTACTTGTACATTTCAGTAAATTTCCCTATCTAGCTCAGCCTTCTTTAACATATTTCCTATATTTTCCACCACATGTCCTTTGGGAGTTCTAGTCCCACTATATCTAGCAAGATGTTGATGTGAAAAGGGCTGGCTTGGCATTCTCAAAAATATGGATTCCTGCCCTGGAAGTATCTTCTGCTATTTCTCATTCTTTTCTCCTTCCCTGCGCATAGAGCTGTTTCCGGAGGCTATTTCTGAGGCACACTCTAGTCACAATGTCTTGATAGGATCAAATAAAGAAGCATTTTCAATTTTATTATGCTGTTATTGTTATGACAGTTTTTTTATGCCTTCTAGTCAGTATTAACTCTGAATTAGTCCCTGCAGTTTTCTTGGTAAGCTTTGAGAAGTGGTTTGCCATAGCCAGTTTTTTAGGGCTGAGAGAGAATGTCTGGCTCAATGACAGCCAGTTGGCTTCCTGCTTAAGAATGGACGAGGACTCACATTCTCCTGGTTTTTAGTCTGTTGCCTTAACTACTACACCAAACTGGCTCTCATATTGATTATACTACCTTTCAAACAATATCCTCTTCTATGACAAGGAAATTGGCTGCTACTAGCACATTTGCAAAATTCTTTTTGAGAGATAAATAAATAACTTTAAATTGAAATAAAACCAATCCAGTTTTACAGTTCATCATTCCCCTCACTTTAGCTTGCTAAAGTTTCACCATTAGGTCTATGAAACTGCTAGCATGCAACATTTACCCAGACAAAGCTGTTAAGAGTACACTTAATTTAGCTCTATTAGATTTTTTTCCTTACTTTTGCACATTGGGGTCTGGTAAGTTCTCCCGATGAATAACCATATGAGCATGGTAAGTTGCCTTCAAAGCAAAACGCCTGTTGCAGATGCTACAACCATAACCCTTCTCTTTGTGAACTTCCATGATATGTTTCAAGTACTCTTTACCTCGGCCAAACGTTAACTGAAAAACGAAACAGCAGTGAATGCACAACACTGAAGAATATATGTAGCATTACTAGCTACTAGCCATTATTATGATAAAAAACACTCTCATGTCTAACTTGTTTAGTTTGGTTTTTGTGTTGTTGCATAAATTCTTTGACAAAAATATGTATTAAAAATATAGCAGAAAATATAATGGAAGTAGAATATATATGTAAGTAGTCTTCACTTAATCACCATTCATTTGATGGTCATTCAAATTTATCGTCGCCCTAAACAAATGGTAGTCATGACCAGTCCTCAAAGTTATAGCTGTTGCAATGACAATACAATCATGCGATATTTTGTCTAACAACCACTTTGCTTAGTGACAAAAATGCTGGTCCCAATTAGGAACATTAAATGAAGACTATATTTAAGAATGGATTGATGTTTATTTGGGAACACCCTTTTTAAAACAATGCATCCTTAGTAATATAGTTGATATTTAGTTAAAACTATTTACAATCTATATTTGAGAAACAATTTAGAGTTCTGTTGGAGAATTTATGAACTATGGGTGTCTACTGGCCAAATCTATTGTCCTGCCACCACATACAAAGATTCCAATGATATTTTAATTCAATGATGACAATACATGCATAAAGATTTCTTGTTTACATCTTTTTCTTTCAATAGAGGCAAAATGTATCCTTTTTGCATGGAAAGACCTATTGTTACTGAAAAGCAAGAGTTTGCATGTGCAAGAAATCTATGTGTTCAATAAAACATACCGTAGAGACCTCTGGATCAGGAAATATGTTGGAATATTTTTTCATTATCTTCAACATTTTTCATGCCACTTTTAACCAATCCCACCCCAAAATGTTGAAAGGAGTAAAACTACCTGGCACCTTTTGCAGCTATACTTGTGGGGCTCAGAATCCACACTTCCATCTGAGTTGTCATCATTTTCTTCTGAAGAGATTCCAATTTTGCCAATAAATTCTTCTCTCTGGTGGTCATCCATTATTGCTATGTCCTGTGTAGAGGATGGTTCAAATGAAATGTCTTATTCAACCCAAATGGAAGCTGATGCTACTGTAATCACTCTGTAATGTTACATAAAACCTCTGAAAAACAGGTTACATGCTTTGTTGCCTCCTATATTTTTCTCCTATTGCTAAGCCTCTCTTTGATGTTAAATGTCTAGTTATCCTAGAGAAAGCAGATTATCTGGGACCTTTTCAGTTCTGGTATAGTCCTGGTTTTGGGATAGATATAGCATTGGTCATTCTCCTGGATGACCTGACTCAGGACCTGGATAAGATAATCCTTGGATCTCTTGTTGACTTTTAGCGTGATTGACCATGGTATCTTTTTGAACCACCTGCAAGGATTGGGAGTTGAAGCTATTTTCTTTAGTGGAAGATTCTGGGCCAATATGTGTTGGTGGGAGAGTAAGGATTGGCCTAGTAGTTCCTCACTTGTGGGATGCCGCAGGATCAGTCTTATCTCCCCTGATTTTCAACATAAATTGGATAGGTAAATAAATAAACAAAAATCTGTATCAAGCTGCTGGGCATGTCATGCAATCTTTTGGAGTGTGGTATCATCAATATGTTGATGATACTTAGCAGTGCATCCTCACCCTGGCCCATGGGGGAGATCATGTTCTCTCTTTCCTGGTGCTTGGAGGCTGTCGGGGTCTGGATAGGAGAGAACAGACTGAAGTTGAACCCTGGCAAGTTAGAATTTCTGCTGATACATCAGCATCCTAGTCTCCAGCTGGACTATAGTAATGTGCTCTATTTGGGTTGCAAGTGGTTCAAAATGCAATAGTCCACATGCTTTCATATTAAGAGCACAGAAGACCAGTTTTGCAGATTCTACATTGGTTGCCAACCGAAGGTGTTTGACCTATAAAGTCCTTCCTAGTTGGGCATCTTCAGAATGGCCTTCTCCAACCCACTTCAGACCAACCAATTATATCTAGCAGGGAGAAACTACTGCAAGTCTCACACTTTCAGTAGGATTGGAGACTAAAGCAAAGAGACAGTTTTTCTGTTGCAGTGTGATTACTGTATAACAGTTTTCCTGTGGAGATCAGGTTGCCTTCCTGTTTGTTGTTTTTTATAAGCTTCTAAAAACAACTTTTGGGGGGAACCTTCTCCCAATTTGCAATTTCATCTTCAGTTAATGGTCATTCAAGCATTCTCACTTTCAATATTTCCTCAGTATTTCTGAGGAACTTCTTCCTATTCCTGCTGAGCTTCAGCCTGGCATAAAACTATCACACACAGCTAAATATTGTACCTTAAAATGAACATGAATATGATCTCTCAGAACATCAACTCTGAAAAATTTACGGCCACAAATCTCACATGTATATTTCTTATCTCCATGGGTCAAAAGATGCTTATTCATATTACTCCTGCACGAAAAAATCTGGAGACAAAAAATGTTGACAAAAATTATTCACATTTTCTCAATTCATTTCAATGATTTTATTTATAAATTATTACTAAAAATTCAGCAGACTTGATTTAATAAAATCCATCTCTTTATATTAAATACAATACAATATAAATACAAATAACTCAAAACATACAGAAGTGGGTTTTAGCAAAACAATTCACTGTGATGTGACATTGGTACTACAAGCACTTCACCTACTAGCAATGAGGCTACTACACTTCAGGATCACCTGTAGTTTCTGAATAGTCTTTATAGGTGACCCCAAAGAAATAATAGAACGTAGATTCCTTGGGTTGCTCTGCTGTGAAGTACCATAAAGCTTGTTCCTTTTCCTGCTACTATTTAATATTACATGCAGCAACTGATAACCAAGAGCAATGAATGAACAGATGATACTCTGCTGTTCATCACCATCCTGGGCTAAGACAGGTAGCTAATCCTTGATGCACAGAAGCTGTTGGGATCTGATGGAGAAACAGGCCTAAGATTAATCTCAGGAAGATGAGAGTGGCTTTGGAAAAAATGCTGGAGATAGTCTAAATCTATACCTTAGATCTGGAAGAGGTAGAACTCCGTCAGATGGAGATAGTTTGCAATCTGGGTATTCTTGAACTCATGGCTCAGACTACAATAATAGGTGAAGTCTAAGGCCAAGAGGCTTAACTACGTCTGGTGTACCAGTTGTGACCAATCCTAGAAGAAAAGGTTTTGCTTATGGTAAGTGGTCACATGTTTTTCCCCTCTGCAACTTGCTTTATTAGTTAAAAGTTGTTTCAGCATGTGGCAGCCCAGGAAGTAAAGGGTGAACTGGAGTTTGCCTATGTGACACCTCAACTATAGGAATTGCATGGTTGCCAATTAACTTCTGTGTACAATTCAAGATTTTACGTTTTAACCTTTAAAAACCTATACGGCTCAGTGCCTGGGTGAATCACAAGCTACTTCTCTGAACAGAATCTGCCTGTCCAATAAGATGAAGCAGAGAACACACTTTATAGTATTGACTGGAGGGCAGGGATCAACCCCGAGGTGTGTCACTTGTGGGTGCCCCAGGGGTCGGTTCTCTCACCCCTCCTGTTCAACATATATATGAAACCACTGGGTGAGATCATC